CAGTAAGAACTAATGCTCTGCATTAGTGCTATTTGGAAAACCGTTATTTCCTAAACCATTTAGGAAAAACAGGCATTTGGAAAACACTGTAGTAAAATGTATGTGATGTTGCTAGGTTATTTCAGTTTGCTGGTCAGCTAAAAATGATATGACTGCAATTCTCCAGATGTCATGAAATTCAATATTTCATTGGACAATGTAGGTGACTAACTTACCACATGTGGTTTACTAGGCAGCTAGGGATAGACATTTTTAGCATTTATGTTGTGTATTTGTGGTGCTTAATATAGCAGATAACTATGGGTAACTATGGGTTTCTTAAAAATGTGCAACAATTTGTCTTGGTTCACTTGAGATGTTTAACCATGTTAACTGTAGACGTAATGGCTAATATACACAGTATATTTAGCTTGGTTACTTTTTCTAACAATAATATTGAGGTTTTTTAATACATATAGTAAAAACAAATACAAACTAAAAGATTAAAGAAAAGTAAGAAGTTTAAAAAGTGGAAGAGAAAGAAACCTTAGTGATGTTGAGCACAAACTAATATAATAACTCTTCACCCCCTTTTAAAATTACAAACAGAAACTTCTGCTTCCAATAACTTACACCTCTTTGCAATTCAGAAATTTTCACTTTTAGTCCAGTTTCAGCAAAATGTTCATTACAATTCACAAGAAATATCAATTATATAATTCATCCCTAATCAGTCAAATTTACACATTCACTTTTTTTTACTTCACTGGACCTTTCATTCTAGTGATATCACAGAACTTGATCTTTAATCAGTCTCCAACATTTCAAAAGATTTTTCAGATATTTTTCCAGTTACTTTGTAAATCCAGTAGAGAGGCACTATCGAGGATTTCTTGTCCAAGTTCTTTTCTTGATTTGGCTTTTGCAGTCATATCATTTTTAGCCAGGGTGGATAAAAATCTATGATATTTTAAAAAATAATCAAAACAATCAGATTTTTAAAATTTAAATCTGATTTTTTTTATTTAAATCAGTTTTTTTAATTTTATCAAATTTATTTAATAAAATGCTTTTGGAGTAAAAATCTATCTAAAGATAGTTTTCTATATAAGATACATTAATAATTTAGTTTATTCAGCATAAAATGGAGCTTAGTTGTGTAGCATGAGGCTGTGTATTCTGCAATATTAGGACTGTTGGTGAGTCAACAGCAGGTCAGAGGAGGAACTTCTGCAGGACAGAGATGACAGTTGCTCTTTAAAAATTATGATTTAAATCAAGTTGATTTAAATCAAGCCTTTTTACTAGGGATTTAAATCGTGATTTAAATCAACTTGATTTAAATCAAATCTACCGTTTTTAGCTGACCAGCAAACTGATATAACCTAGCAAAATCTCATATATTTTACTATATTTCCAATGTAGTAATATTTTTAGCTTTATTATATTCCATATAATTTAATAAATATATAAATGTATTAATCCATATAATAAATAATAAATATAATACATGTTCAATTACATTTATGTCAAATATGCTTTTTAGAATCTCCCTCAACACCTTCCAGGGTTTAATCATTGGAACCTGTATTGAATGCTTTCAAAAATATTAAGATTAATATCTCAGTTCCTGTTTATACTAGGGTGTGCCAATTAAAAACTTTGATTTAAATATTGATAGAGGACAGATACTTGCATGCCTGTCTATATAGACAGAGGTTGAATTGTTAAAAATTGTGGGTACTTGGTACTCTCAGCTTGGTTTTTTTCTTGCAAATATTTCATTACCAAATTAGGTAACATCATCAATTAGGTAACATCATCAGTGCTAATAGGAAGTAGGGTTGCTCTCATTTTATATACTAGTGCTGGAGTGTCAAACTCAAGGCCCGCGGGCCGGATCTGGCCTGTGACGAGGCCGAATCTGGCCCACATGGCCATCTTAAAAACTGTAAGGGTCCGGACTGCATCATTTTGGCCTGGTCCTCGTCATCCCAGTGGGCATGTGCACACACAGGCCTACTTCTCTGTTGCCACATGCAGAGCAACTAAAGTTGTCTGTGGTACTATGGTAAAAAAATAGTTCAGAGCTTCCAACCTCACGAGATTTTTTTTTTTTTTGTGAGAAGTTTGAAGGTTTGTACTATATTTTTTACCATAGTTCCATAGACTACTTTAGCTGCTCTGCACGTGGCGGCGGCAAAAGGAGCTTGAAAGGTTAATGAAGGTATGTGGCTGTCCTGGGTGGCGTGTGTGTGTGTGAGGATTTGGCCTCGCTGAAGGGCTCTCAGATAAGCCAGTATAAGGCATGGGGGGGCAGTTCTGTACCCCCTGCCTTGCTTCATCCTCTGCCTCCTTACTTCATTCTTTGTCACTTCTCCTTGCTCGCTGCCATAACCTAGGAGGACGCTGAGCAACGCAATGGCCACAAAGCGAAGCGGCGGGGGGTAGAGTACAAAGCAAGGTGGTGGGAGGTGCAGAGCTATCCTCCCACGTCCCGCACTGACTTACCTGAGCACCCCTCCAGCTAGGTACTGAAGTGGCGCAACTGCTGCTGCAGCGAGACAATCAGACAGAGAGACACACACACACACAGACACAGAAGGGGGCCTCTCCAAATTCTCTGTGTGTATACGAGCATGTGAACCCTGCTTTAGTCAGGGCACTCAAGCTGCTGGCAGCGGCACGGGCAACAGGAGCCACCTGATCAGTGAAGTAGGGGGTTGGAGTACGAAGCAAGGCAGCGGGGTACAGAGCTGCACCCCCATACCCTGCACAAGCTTACCTGAGTGCCCTGCCAGCCAGGCACTGAAGCGCTGCAACTGCCACTTCAGCACAGGCTCTACGGGACAACAGGGCCTCTCATTTCTCCCCTCCAGCTTCAGGTGGGGCATTTAAGCTGCTGGCAGCAGCAGCCACCTAATGATTGCTCCCAACCAGCCAGCCTGCACCGCCTGACCTGCTTCCTGTCTGGCCAGTCGGCGCAAAACCTTGCCGTTCTCCTCCTCCTCCTTGTCCTCCCCTCCCAAGCGGCAGTAGGCTCTGTGGGACAGGGTCTCATTCCTGCCCCGGCACAGTGAACTCTGACTGGCTAAACGTGGATGTGAAGGACCTGGCCCCACAGTGCTTCCTTGCTCAGCCTTCAACCAGTAAGGCCAGCCGTGGAATCGGAATTGGCTGGGTACAGGAACCAACGCCGTCCATGGCCCTGGTGCGCTGCTCACTTACGTGGGCCAGCCTTACAGTTTGAAGGCTGTTTTTATAAATAAACTGAGCAAGGAAGCATTGCGGGGTCAGGCTCTTCACACCACATCCAGCCCGTCAGAGTTCGCTGCTATGGGGCAGGAATGAGACCCTATCCCATGGAGTCCGCTGTCCCGTGGGACAGGGTCTTATCCTCCACTTTGGCAGAGAGGGCGAGAAGAACAGTGAGACTTTCCGCCAGCTGGCAGGGAACAGGTCAGGCGGTGCTTGTTGGGAATGGGGCAATCATCACCGCCAGCAGCTTAAATGCCCCGACTGAAGCTGGAGTTTGCTGCACCGGGGGAGAAATTAGAGGCTCTGATGTCCCACAGAGCCTGCGATGCTTGAGTGAGGAGGATGAGGAGAAAAACACTCCTCAGCTGGCTCTTCCTCTCCATCCCTGCTGCTCCCAGTATCTTAAATGCCCCAACTAAAGCAGGGATCACGCTCTCTCTCACATACACACACACACAATTGGATTATTCTCTTGCTCGCCCCTCCCCCCTCTCTCCCTCCCTCCTTCTCTCCCCCCTCTCCATTTGCATGCAAGCATGCTCTGTGGGACAACAAGGTCTCATTAAATAGTTAAGTGGAAAGTAGTTGGGGAAGGGAGGAGCAGGAAACCGGCAAATACTTTTTGCTCCAAGAATGAAAGTTTCTGGGTCCCTGACTGCAAAAGTGGATGGGTGCCTTGATCTGCAGAATATTATAGCAGCATCCATTCTTGGCATAAAAAGCATTTCCCAGCCAACTCCCCTCTCCCTTCTTCAAAGCAAAGGCAAAGAAACAGAGAAACAAAGAGAGGAGACAGATGTTTGCAAGGTGAGTCCTTGTGACAGGAAGGGAGGGAGAAGCATGAGGTATCTTAGTGGGTCAGGGAGGCCTTGAGGGCGTGTTCTATCACTAGCCCCCCCCCATGGCCTTCCCCACTCTAAGATATCTCATGTGCACATTAGTATTCTTGAGTTGTGAGCTCTTAGGAAAGTGTTCCTTGTGTGTTGCAAACAGCTATTTCCAGTGCAGAAAACGGGACAAGGAAAGGGGGGAAAAGAGCAAGGAAGGAAAAAGAAGGAAAGAGGGGAAGGAAGAAGAAAGAAAGAATGAAGAGGGAAGGAAAAAGAAGGGAGGAAGGAAGAAAGATTATAATGAGAGACAGTTGAGGGTAAATCTTGCCTTAGCACTTGGCCACCAGAGGCCCTGCTGCCTTTCCCATCTCCTTGTCCCCTCCTGACCTCTCCTGGTGGTCTCCCATCCTATCACTGAGGACGGAAGACCTTTGGTTACAAAGCCAGGTCTCCTCATAAGGAGATGGAGTGAGCCTCTCTCTGACCCACACACTTTGCCCTCCTACACACACCATGAGCAACCTGGCCAAGGAGAACGAGCACAGCAGCAGTGGGCGTGATCATGCCCACCATGGCCACGCCCCGTCCATTCCCCACCCCCCGAAGTCAACCACAATCCTGATGTGGCCCTCAATGAAATTGAGATTCTGCTGTTGTTTGCTGTTAACTTGTTTGCCTTGAGTTGGTAGTTTTTTTATTGGTGTATTGTTTGCCTCTGATTGTTTTATTCATAAAAGAAAATATTTTGTATAAAGAGCCTTTATGAGTTATATGTTTCTGTTTCTGTATAAATAGCATTGTAAATGTGTGGAACTGAGAGTGAACTTCCAGTATGCCTCTTCACAGTGCCTTCATTTCTGAGAATAGATAGTATTTGTTACTATTGCAGGCTTACGGATCTTAATAAAAATATTATTTTCTTCATTTTTGCAGAACCCCGAGGTTACGTAGAAGACCTTAATCACTCCACTGTGATATCTGACAGTTCAAGAACTCCAAATCCATCCTTATTGCAGGCTGCCATAGAATCCGTTCCTTCCCATCACCAGCCTTTTGCAGCTACATGTTCAGTTTCAAATGATACTACTGTTCCAAGAAAAGAGAGGTAGTTAAAATCTAGTTCTTTCTTAAATTTCCAACATAATATTTTTAAAGTGGAGAAGAAAACCAAAAGGTTTTCCAAAGAAAAAAAGGCCCTTAAAATTTGGGGATTATGGGATCTTCAAGATAGGTTTCTAAAGTGAGACAAATATTTTAGATGGCAGGTGCTGAGGATTGAAGACGAATGTGAATAGACAGAGAGATGCCAGATTTGAGTATACCATGTTGTTCCTATGGTAGCATGATGGCCTTTGTTCTAATATCCAATCTGAGTTTCAGAACTAAAATAATATCTAAGTGCTAGTTTTCAGAACATTAAATATGAAGCAGCCCCATTTTGACCTGTACTTCACAAACAAAATAATTGTTTGTTGGTCTAACCCTATTAGAATTAATACCGGGACCGGGAAAACAACTTATTGACATTGCTATTCAGTTTTCCTTCAGTGATGTCAAAATAGCATATATCATCAAAGTATTGGATATACTCAAATGAAAATAGAATTTGGCCTTCTTCTGAATTATAGTTATATGAATAAGTAATTTTAGAGTAGAGAAGAAAAGTGGAAGCTGTTTTGAGAATTCTTCCAGGGGACAAAATCCATATAACTATTGTTTTATTTGATTAAGAAATGCATATGAGGGTTTCCAGGGCAAATCTTTGCTAATCTTACATAAAACTTTGTTCTACTTGATTATGATTAAACATAGAACTTCTCTATAATGGAATGTTTGGATTTACACTGCATTTTTCAACATATAGCTAAACTTATTAAATATGTGGCAGATTGCATTTTATAGAGGGATGCATTATGTGCATATATTAAGCAGATGGATTTAGATTGAAATTCTCTGTCATCTGAATTAATGCAGGACTGCATATTGATTTTTAAAAACTTATATTTGTTGTGAATTATACATAAAGTAAAAGACAAATCTACAGAAAAAGTAAAATGAAAGATTAAAAGAAAAAATCTAAAGTTATGACTTCTGACCTCTTCTACAGATAATTATAATTGTATAATCATTCCCCCCCCCCCCTCTTTTCTTTTTTTTTTACGACTCTTTAATCCCTTTATTTCGGGGTAGAATCAGGGTGACTGAGTGGAGCTGAATGTTTACTGGCTGGATGCCCTTTCTAATACCTATGTGATGTTTGCAGCAGATATTTTCTTTTTGCGTTCTGATAGAGAAACATCCGCTGCTGCCTAGGATTGAACTCTCAACCTTCTGAGTGGGAGGCAAATGTCTTCACCTCTAGACCACTGTTCCACTCAAACGCTCACCTCTGATATTATACAAATCCCTTCAACCCTTTACTTGGTCCTTTATTTTAATCCTCATATCTGTGAATCATCCTAGCATTTTTTTTTCTTTTAGCAAAAAGTCGTCATAAGGTTCCCAGTCTTTCAAAAAAAAAAAAAATTGCAATTTTTCTCTGATGAGATAAGTCAGCTTTCCTAACTCAGGAAATTCTAACCGTTTCACAGTCCATTCATCCATTGGGGAGTTCATTATTTTTTAATTGCTGAGCATAAGCCCTAATAAAAAGCATTCTGGTTTCTTCATAATATTTATCTTCAAATCCGTTTGTATCATCGTATCAATTTTTATCCATACTTTCTTAGTTTACTTACAAGTCTACAATGCATGAATATCACTTCATGGTTTTCATATTTCGAATACTAGTTTGAAATAATTTTATACAGATGTGATAATTTTTCTAGTGTCGTATATCAGCATTACATTATTTTATAAAAGCTTTTTCTTGGTTTATGACACAGTGCAACTTTAAAACTACTTATCCACATTGTGTTACAACTGTCCACCTGTACATAATATCCAAAACTAGTAGCCTATTTATCATTCAATATTTAATTTATTCTTCTGTTTCAAACTTTAACAAAACGTTATACATTTTGCTATTTTCATCATTTGCACATAATTCAGTTCCAATTATCTTTTTATCCATATTAAACTTTCTTGTTAATTGAGCACATGAAAACCATTGAAATCTGTGTATTTCTGCAGTCGATTGTTATCTTGACTTTATCTTAAATTCTGCAATGTTGAAATATTTATAATAGACAGGATGTAACCTTTTTTCCCTTTTCAATACAGTTCAACAGATGAACATATTTGGCATCCAAACAATTCTCAGCCTTCCTTGATGCCCCAGTTTCCAGAAATGAGTAACATCAATGTAGGAAGTTACCTCATGTCTCCAGATCTTTCTGCTCCTGAGCAAAATGATTTATACTTCCAGACAAAAGGACTTCAGCCTGGGACATTTAACAATCTAGCAAATATAACAGCTGTGCCACAACAGGACCTTACAACTTGTGATAGCATCCAAACTTTTCAGAATTATGATGGGACTGTTGCTAACAGTAACCAGTTAGTGGAAGAAAAAAACCTTTCTTTTATGTCAAATGCTGATGGGTCTCCCAAAGTAATGAAATCTATGGTGGACAGTAGTTTTTTGCCACATACCTGCCTTGTATCAACTTCTGGATATACTAATCAGCAAATCCAGGGATTGCAAATGTATCCACAAACCCCTCTTCCTGAGAAGAAAAGGATTTCTGAGGCAGAACGTTCTTTTGGTTCTGCCTCACCTTCTCCAAGCGGTTTTTCCAGCCCACATAGTGGAAGCACTATCAGCATTCCATTTCCAAATGTTCTTCCAGATTTCTCTAAAGTTGGAAACGCACTACCAGTGTTAGGTATGCATTCCATAAGGGTAACAGCTCTTCTCACTATTTAGCATAGTTGTTTCTCTATGTACAAATCAACGAATGCAAAATGCATAGTTATTAAACCTTTTATACTTAAATTGAATGTGTAGTTATTCATGTAGGGTCTAATTCAAATGCCTCCTGACATTTGCATTATGAGATGGGAATGAGGTGCTACAAACAATGGAAATAGTGATGATTAACATACTTCTGAATGGCATTATCTTATAATAAAAACTCAACTTTATTTGCCACCAATAGCCTCCTACCGACCAGTTCGTTCTCACAGGGAGGGACTACTCAGGGTACCGTCAGTCAAATTATGTCGACTGGCGACTCCCAGGGGGAGGGCCTTCCCTGTGGGGGCTCCAACCCTTTGGAATGAACTGCCCCCAGAGATACGGAATATCCCTGATCTCCGTGCTTACCGCCATGCCCTCAAGACCCTGATGTTCCAACAGGCGGGGCTAAACATACGAACATGTGAATGATTTTTTAAATGTTATCTAATTCTGGGTTTTATTTAATTGACCAAACTAAGTAATAATTTTAATTAGCAATTTTATGATGTTTGTGTGTCTATATTTTTTTTGACTGTACACCGCCTTGAGTCCTACGGAAGAAAGGCGGTATAGAAATGTAATAAATAAATAAATAAATAAATAAATAAACTTTATGTTGTGATAGTATGGTATGCTTTTTAAAATCATATTTATCTTACTTTTTATCTCACAGAAAGTATGGGTGATAAACATGTAACTGTAAACTTTGTTCAAGATACTTCCAAATTTTGGTATAAACCAGAGATTTCCAGAGAACAAGGTATGTTCTTTAAATATCTTGCACAGCATACAGCTAGTTTTATTGTATTTGGTGATGAATATTTATCACTCACTGTTCCTCTTCAGCTTTACTCTAATTTGTGTTTATGTTTTGCTAGATATTACTCTCCCTTCCAAAACCCCAACATCTTAAATTTAAGCTGTTTAAGTCATTTATGAACAGTAAACAGTTACAGTTCTAAGGAAATACTGAAAAACACACATTTTAATGCATTTACAATTTATTTTTATTGGCATCCTATACAAATTTTATTATAAGGAAGAAGAAAGATTGTGTGAAAACTACTGGGCCTGAGACGGAACCTTGTGCTTACTTCCCTCCATGTAGAAATAGTACAATTAAGACTACTCGTTGAGTGCAGTTTGTCAGCTAGTTACAAATCCATCCAGTGGTGATGCTGTCTCTCTTTCGCTCTCTAGCTTACCAAGAAGTAGGTTGTGGTTTAAGAGAAGACACAATTTGATTTTGTGCAAAATAGTAGTTCTAGATGTTGCATAATTACAAAATGGGATACTAGTTGTCAATGATCTTGAAAGACATCTGATTCCTTTACAGTGTGTAATGGACAAGTATTTTTTCTGTTGTCTTCAGTGATGTGATTATTGTGCCCTTAAGATGTTGATGTCTTAATTATAATTAAGACAGTGTGAATACCATTTGGCTTGTAACTATTTTTCTTCTCCAATGTCATCTCTTTTTCCTCTCTGGGAAATTAACTGTGCTTAAACCAGCCAGAGTTCGTGGCTGGTTTAGAAATAGAATTGTAAACTAATTAAGTCAAAGTGCAATGTTAATATTGCCTTTAACCATAGACATAATAATTTATCTCTGAAAGGAGAAAGAATTTGTGGGTATCAGTAACTTTGTTACTTCTACATTAATTAAAATTATTTTTGATGCCTTCAAGTCAGTCTTGACTGCTTGAGACTACAGAGACAAGTCCATAAAATTTTCTTGGCTATATTTTTCAGAAATGTTTGGCCATTCCTGCCTTTTAAGGCTTGGAGTGTGATTAGCTCAAAGTCACCCAGCTGATTTCATGCTAGGGTAGACTTGAATTGACTATCTCCTACTTTCCAGTGCAGTTGCTTTAAGCACTGCACCAAATTGGCTCTTGACTTACTCAGATATTTACATTTTGATGTAGTAAAATGCTCTAGATATAATATATCACGAAATCAGTAAGGTACTTGACAAAGTAGACTACAACATGCTACTTGGTAAGAAAGAAAAATGTGGACTAAATAGATCCATCATGACCAAATGAATTTATAACTGGCAGACCAATCACACTCAACATGTAAACCTTAATAGAATTACATCTACATAGAAGGAAGTATGCAGTGGGTATCTCAAGGTTCTGTCTTAGGTCCAATACTCTTCAACATCTTCAAAAACATTTTAGATGAGGGGATAGAAGGGGAACTCCTTAAATTTGTAGACAGCACCAAGCTGAGGGAACTAGCCAACACTTCAGAAGAAGAGGCTCAAGATCCAGAAGGACCTTGACAGACGAACACTAAGCCCTATCCAATAAATCCAATTTGATGGTGAGAATATTGTACACACTTAGGTAAGAAAAACTAAATGCACAAGTGTAGAATAGGTAGTACCTGGTTCAATAGCAGTGAGTGAATAGGATGTAAAAGTCCTATTAAATATGAGCCAGCAAGATCCAACAGCTGCCAAAAAAGTCAATGGATTTCTAGGCTCCATCAACAGAGAGATAGTATCAAGGTCATATGAGGTGTTTGTGCTGCTTTTTATTATACTGGTGAGACCATACTTGTAATAGTACATCCAGTTTTGGTCACCATGATACAAAAACCATGTTGAGATCTTAGAAAAAATCAACAAAGATGATTGGAGGACTGCAGATTTAAACATATGAGGAATGGCTACAGGAAATGGGAATGTCTACTCTAGTGAAGAGAAGGACTAGGGATGACATGATAGCAGTCTTCCAATATTTAAGGGGCTGTCACAAAGAAGGGGACAACTGTTCTCCAAAGCACCTGAAGCTAGGATAAGAAGTGACGGATAGAAACTTGTCAAAGAGAGACCCAAACTAGAACTAAGAAATTTCCCAACAGTAACAATAATTAATCAGTGAAACAGCTTGTCTTCAGAAGTTGTGGATGTCCCATCACCGGATATTTTCAAGAAGGGACTGGACAGCCATTTGTCTGGAAAGGTATGGTATTTGATCAAGGGATTGGATTAGAAGACCTCCAAGGACCCTTCTTCTGTTATTGTGTTAGATTTATTGGAATATAATTGATTCCAGAGTACCATATTTTCCGGCGTATAAGACGACTGGACATATAAGACGACTCCCGACTTTTCCTGTTAAAATAAAGGGTTTGGGCTATACTTGCCGTATAAGACTACCCCTCTTCCAACGCACACCAAATAAAAATTAAAAAACATCAACTAGCTCACCCACAATGTAAAAGCAGCTGTGCTAGATCCAAAATGGCCCCTGCAACAAGCAGGAACCTCACACAGCCACAAAAAGCCCAAAAACCCAACTTTCACACTTCACACACAAAATTCCACATACAGCTTTGTGAGATTTTGTGAGTTTGGGTAGTTAGAGTGAAACACTACAGAAACACACTAAATTTCAGAAAGCTGCACAAATATTATTTTAATTTATTTTTATTTTTATATAAAAGCAGCTAAATTTAAAACTTCCTAAACTTTAAATGGCTAGGTCTAAAAAAGAACAACTAAAAAAAACCCCAATTAACTATTTTTTTAAAGCTCCCAAAGGGGAAAAAACTTACCCAATAGAACAGGGGTCTCCAACCTTGGCAACTTGTAGCTTTGCTTTGCTGGCTGAGGAATTCTGGGAGTTGAAGTCCATAACTCCCTGCCTGCTGATGGAATGGATTTAGGCAAGCGAAGCAAGGCAAGGGTTGCGACTAGCAGCTAAGGTAAGCAAGCTGGAGGGGGAAAACTTTTTTCCTTTTACATGGCTCTGGCGATCCCAGCTGAGTTGCCTGATTAGCAGGCAACTCAGCTGGGATCGTCAGAGCTTGGATCGCCAGAGCCATGTAAAAGGAAAAAAGTTTTTTCCTTTTAAATGGCTCTGGCAATCCCAGCTAACTTGCCTGATTAGCAGGCAACTCAGCTGGGATGGTCAGAACTTGGCTCGTCAGAGCCTTTCGGGCTGGTCTGCCTGGTTATAGGAGAACAACACCCGGCGTATAAGACGACCCCTGACTTTTAAGAAGATTTTCATGTGTTAAAAAGTCGTTTTATATGCCGGAAAATACGGTACTTCCAGAAAAAACAGAGTAGTTTCTGAAGATTAAAAAAAGGGCCTTTCGTGTTGTATGTTTGTGGTTAATGTGATAAAAATTTTATAATTCATTCTAATCATAACTATTTTAGCCAAAACAGTCTACAGTACTGACAGTTCTTCCATAGGTTGTGTTTGCTTACAGAAAAGAAATACAATTCTGAACAGCTTTTTTCCTAGTTGCTAATGCATGTTTTTTTTTAAAAAAAATAATAAAAGTCCTATTCTAATCTCTTTCTTTTTGTCATGCAGCTATTGCTGTCCTGAAGGACAAGGAAGCTGGATCATTCATTGTTCGTGACAGTCATTCCTTCAGAGGTGCCTATGGTTTGGCCATGAAGGTTGCTATACCTCCTCCTTCAATATTACAGTTAAACAAAAAAGGTAACTCCTCTGCCATCAAAGAGATTGGAGAAATTTATCCCTAAAATTTTAAAACTCTGTGGATAATAGATCAGATGCTAGTTCATACTAATGCCATTGAAAATTCTAAAGGGCGAGGAAAAACCCAAGTATGGAGTGTCTCGCAGCGCCCGAAAATTCGACGTTTATTCGAATAATAAATAAAATCCTAGAATGCGCAGAAATGGCAAAATTAACTAGTGTTCTTAAAGACGATGAGAATTCAAAATTTAAGGCAGTATGGGAAAGGTGGTACAAATGGTGGAGTAATAGAACAAGTCTATAAGGATATGTCTATTTCTAATAATGATAGATTTGAAGATACTTGATATGTACATAATGTAAATATGTAATCGCACGACACCTCAGATGTTAACTGAGATTTGATGTTTCCTTTTAAAAAAACTTTTTAAAAAATCAATAAATATTATAAAAAAAAAAATTCTAAAGGGCTTACAAACTTTTAAGAATCGCTATATATAAGGGTGTGGGTGTGGGTGTGGGTGTGGGTGCATGGGTACATGAATAAGGCCCTGGCTTCTTTGGTTCCACATAAAAACAAAACATTCTTTATAGATATGCATATATCAGATCAGTTTCTGACTCCAGGCAACTATCTGGACAAGTCCAGACTTGAAAAGTCCCAGTTTTCTTGGCAAGATTTTTTTCAGAATTTGTATGCCATTGCCTGTTTTCTAGGATTGAGAGAATGATTGCCCAAGGTTATTCTGCTGGGTTCATACAGCAGAGTCTAAGTCAAAGTCAAAACTAGAATTCACAGTCTACCAATTTCTAGCCTTATGCCTTAATCACTACACTAAAGAAGCTCTCTTAATAGTTATGGGTTTGGCATTAAATAATGAATGACAAAACAGAAGTGTTGTTATGCAATATAGATGCCAAAACAATTTAGTTAAAAAATAGCAAAACCTCTTAGTTCAGTTAACCTGAACTAAGTTAACTGGTTAACCTTTTCCAGACTGAATGCCCAAAGTGCCCACACACCTGAATCCCCAAAATGCAATGCGTGCATGACCCTGCACATGTGCTCCTCTCCCATGCATGCGCAAGTGTCCCCCTGTATGTGCCCCATCCATGAGCATGCGGCCTCTGCATGCGCCCCCGAGCCCTGCCTTGTGCATGTGTGCATGGCCACCTGCATGTGCTCCATACACCCCCGCGCATATGCGCGTGGGTCCCCAATACATGCCCCGCCCCCCACGCATATGCAACAGACCCGACAACCAGCTGGCTGACAGGAGGCATGCACGTATGCACAGCAGAGCTGAACTGGGGCAACGGCTCACATGCCTACAGAGAGGGCACTGTGTGCCACCTGTGGCACGCGTGCCATAGGTTCGCCATCAAGGTCTTAGTTTATCGTATTGTATGAAGGTCAGTTTCTTACTTGGAAAACATGTATGTAAATTTGGAAAAACGTTCATAGAAAGTGTACTTTCCAGTTATGTAGCTGGTTGCAAACCTGCAACCAGACCAAACATACTACTGTACATTTGGATCCAGTTAAAGAGTTCATTGGATGACGTATCAGGGATAAAGCACTTGTAATGAAAATATTAAGAGAAAAAAACTTGAGATTTTTGAATTAATTATGTGACAAACAGATCAAGGAAGATTTCTCCCTTGGGAAGTAGGATTTGATGCTAGAATAAAATATTTTTACTAAGGAATCTTAAGTAAAGTTGTGAGAAATTGAGAGAACTTGGGATAATTTGGATTTTGGAGTGAAATAAATGTACAATTATTTCAAGGAAGACAGGCAATATTTAATATTTGTGTAATCCAAGACGGCATATAATGCTAGAACTTGAGGATAGTTACTTATTTTCAAATTTATTATCAATATAAGATGAGCAGAGCATAGGAGCCATACTGGCACAGTAGTTGGAATGCGGTATTGAGGCTAACTCTATCCATAAGCAGGACTTGAACCTGACGGGCTCAAAATTGACTCAGTCTTCCATTCTTCTGAGGTTGGTAAAATGAGGACCCAGATTGTTAGCGGCAATATGCTGACTCTATAAACCACTTAGAGAGAGCTGTAAAGCACTATGGAACAGTATATAAGTCTAAGTGCTATTGCTATTGTTATAGTCAAGATAAAGAGTCATGGTCAGGTCACCGTAAAGTTCATGTCCTTGAAATAGAACAGATCATTTAACAATTGTTTAAAGTTACAACATACTTCCTCAAAACTACATATGATCCTATTTCAAAGCTATGATGCTTGCAGTGCCTCCCAAAGTCATTCACCCTTACAATCAACCACAGGGCACTATCTATTTCAACACCCCATCATGGGTCCCCACAGGCAATGGGCCTGCTTTCCTACCCCACCTGCCACAGAAGAGTTCCACACACTCATATCCACCCCCGGGTTACTATTTGCTCACTTATCTTTCAATATGCAAAGCGCAGGGAGTCAGAATAGGGAAGGAGGAAAGACTGCTCCACTGCTGGTGGAGCTAAGGCTAGAAATAATGAAAAATCCTGCTGGCTTTGCTTTAATCTCTAGACTTACTCTATAGCAAAACAAAACAGGCAAGATTTTTTTCTCCTCCTAATGTTGTGAACATTATTGGGAGACTGTTAATACATTTCAGTTAGATTATTTTTCATCCTGGGATTGTGGATTGACAAGTTCAAAGTTTTCTCATTCTTGTTTGGGTGGTAAAACAGTGGTTCTTAACAAAATTACACATTGCTTATATAATGGGATCAGCAGAATGTCTCTGTAATTTGGTTATTTGCAGAGGTATGCCAACAATGCTAATCATAACTTTCCTTCCCAGAGTTTCCATCAGCCTTGCCCATCTGGGTTACCTTACCCTCCCTCCCCCCCTCAAAAAAAAGGGGCGGGAGAAAAGCTCTGAGCCAAGCTTTGATAGATTCTTTCAAACAAATTTCAAACATCAAAATAAATAAACAGTCAATATTTATTTACATTTTATTTCTATTGGGTGCACTAAAATCGAACTGCAAATATCTGAGCAATCACTAGATAGCAAGAAAATCAGAAAACGATAACTGTTAGCTTCCTTTAGATTTTTTTTTACATACAAGCCTAACTTTAATATTATGAATTCAGCCATTTTAAGCTATCATGAGTCATTATACAAATCTTTGGAAATTGTGGTTATAATGCATTTTATTCTCCATTGTTGGGTGGAGACAGCAGCCAGTGTGGGTAATACTTGCCCAATCAGCTGAAGGACTAAATCAGCCAATAACATTAAAGCCTGCCCTTGTTGCCGGGCAGATCCAGCTTTTGACTCAGTCCTTTCAGTTGATCGGGCATGTGGGTTATTGGCTCTGTCTTTATTCCACCTTTTCTACTGATATTTCTGCTGATTGATTATTGGTTTGACCTGGATTGATTACTGGATTTCGCTTTCATCTCGTACCCTGACTATTTGGATTGGATTGCTTGGCTAAAGTTTTTTTTCTGTCTCCCTCCTGACTTGAACCTTTGGACTGGACTTGGACACTGTGAGTTGCCTATGCCTTAGTTAATGACCTTGGTGCCCATTTGAGCCCTTCAGCCCCTTTCGGCGTCCTCCCCTAAAGGGGGGGGAGATATTTCGCTGTGCTGGGGGAAGCGAGTTAAACCTTCCTTCCTCATTGCCTTCTCTGCCGCTTGACTTTAAAGTGGCAGAAATTTTTCTTCGTTAATTGTTGCGGCGGCCATTTTGAATCATCCATCAAGCCGCTTTTCATCGGCGCTGGTCGGCATTAGTGGCGGCTTCTGTTTCCTGACCTCATTTGCTTGCTGGGACGGCGGCCGCGTTTCCAGGGCCGTAGGCATGCTGTTTTGTTCTGTCCCTGCCTGGTAACTAAAGACTTTGACTAGATAACTCCCTTTCGCTGGCTCCAGTTTTTTCTTCGGAATACGGATCTGCGACCTCCCTCCTGTCAGCTGGGGTTCTCTCAGGAGCTTCGTCTGACCATTTCCCCTCCTGCCTGCCTCCTTTGACCTGCTTCTTCGCTGCAAGGCTTCTCGGGGACGTTTTAAACTGAAAAAAATTGACTGGCCGTCATTTTGTCACAGGCTGGAAGTGCGGCGGCCATTTTGTGTCTCTGAGTCATTTGCATATCTTTAACTGGACTTGTGGAGTGATAGCGCTCCCTCTGGGCTACCAGGGCTAGACTGTGGAGTTTCTTTACACCCGTTGACATTGTTTACAAACTGCTGCAATTTCTTATAATACGGGCTAGTGGAGCTTTTACGCCCCCTCCATCTCATTGGGCTATTCTGAGGTGATTAGCCAACTCCACCCTCTGAACTGATATATTATATCATTGCGGCGATGCCTAAAGCCCTGTCTAAATCAAAACATGGCCGTTTGGCCAGTACTGTTGCCCATGATCAGCCGGACTCTGCCTCTCATGATAGGCCACATGACACTGTGATTTCTGAAAAGTCCCTGCCTTCGACCAGTTCGGCTAGGCCTCACCACAAGAGTCACAAGCATAGTGGGTCCTCAAAGGCTGAGAGGCGTAGAGACAAAGTTTTGACAAAACTTTGCGAAAAAGCGAGCGCTGATGTGGCTACAAAAGGTGTGCTATCTGCTCCTGTAGCTGACAACCCGGCTCATGAACAAGTGACGGGACCTGATACACCTGATCAGTTGTCCCTGAGAGATTGCCCTGTGACTATTTCAACTTCGGCCTTATGGGGTCCCTCGGATCTTCCCCCTCCATCTGAGACGCCCGTATCAGAAGTTCTGCATCCTTCCGATTCTGTTCCGGCCCTGACATCTTCTGCAGCGGCTATTTCCTGCCAATTGCTTCCCGAGCAACTCGAACTCCTTATTGAGAACGCAGTACAGAGGTCCTTGGCCGCACGGGACCGATCTCATAGCCGTTCTGCATCCGTACGGTCCGCTTCTCCGGTCTCCCCTGAACAGGGAGCCGTCGAAGAGCATTTTTCCAGGGCTCCTGATTCTCCTAACAGTTCTCACACGACTCAACCTTCCATTTTGACGGATGTGGATTATGAGGATTCAGCCTTATCCGACGATGACAACTTACCTCAGGACCAACCGGCCTTTACTGGTCTATTTCCAGAAGCCTTGTTCAAGCCTCTATTGTTTAAGGCCGTTAACACTGCTCGCTTGTCTTCATCTGCTGCAGATCCTGCTCCTGCCTCTGAAGCTCTGGACCCCATGTTCGCCGAGCCTACTAGGCCTATCTCCTCTATCCCAACTCCTCCCCTCTTTGTTGATGTAGTGAAATGACAGTGGTCCTCCCCGGGCACGGCCCCTTCTCCATCGACGAACGACCGTAAGAATTTCCAGGTCTCGGACGAACTGGACTCCCTTCTCCAGGTGTCATCGATCGATACCCGTATTGCCGCCCTGCTACCCAATGCGAACGTCCTGGGGGTTCCTGATGAGGGTCTACGTCCGGATGAACGTCATTCTGATTTGGTTCTCCAACGTGCTCATCAAAGTTCTGCTTGGGCCATCAAGGCAGCAACTACGGCATCGTTTTTTAATCGAACCACCTTACTTTGGCTACGACAGCTCCAGGAGAAACTTCCTCCGGAAGACACCCGAGTCAGGCAGGACTTGAACAAAATTGTCGCTGCCTTGCAATTTTCGGCAGATTCCACTTCGAACACCACTCGTTTCGCTTCCAAGGTGCTGGCTTCCATGGTCACTGCCCGTTGTCTAGTCTGGCTCCACCACTGGCAAGCGGACGCGCGCCATAAGTGGCGCTTGGCCTCAGTCCCCTTCGGTGTTCTCAGCTCTTCGGTGCTGCCCTCGAGCTGTTCCTCACCAAAACCAGGGATAAGAAGAAGATCCTGGCTCCTATGCATCGTAGGGCGATTCCCGTTTTGCCCCTTACTCCCCTCGTCCTCAGTTCCGAGGTGCTGATGGAGCTGGTTCAGCTTTCTTTTCTTCCCCTAGACCGTTCAGTGGGTTTCACAGGCAGCGGGGTTCTCAAGACAGGTCCTGGCGGGGCAGATCCTTCGTGTCTAGGCGGTCCTTTCGGGGGGGAGGAGGTCGTTCCTACCGACGCCGTCGCTAATTGCATCGCAACTCCTCCCATCGGTGGCAGATTGGCTCTCTTCGTCACCGCTTGGGAGAAGTCTACTTCAGATCAGTGGGTCCTGGCTACCTTAAAATCTGGGTTAGCCATCGAATTTCTTTCCCCTCCCCCGAGTGCCTTTGTTTGCTGTCCGATTTCTCATAATCCTGAGAAGAGAGCGCGCATGGACGCAGCGGTACAGCATCTTCTTTCCATCAGGGCTATCCAACCTGTTCCACCCGATCAGATCGGGGCGGGCTTCAATTCCCGGGTTTTTCTAGTCCCTAGGTCCTCAGGGGGGTGGAGACCCATTCTGCACCTAAAATGGCTTAATCGGTATGTTGTATACCGTAAATTTAAGATGCAATCATTGAAATCCATCCTTGACAGTGTTAGGAGGGGCGATCTCCTTTCTTCTATCGACCTCACTGAAGCCTACTTGCATATCCCTATTCTTCCTTCTCATAGGAGATATTTGCGTTTTTGTTAAGGGGGGTGCACTATCAGTATAGGGCGTTACCCTTTGGCCTCTCGTCAGCCCCTTGTACCTTTACGAAGGTGTTGGCGGCTTTGGCGGCTTCTCTCCGAGTTCAGTCAGTTAGGCTTTTATGTTATTTGGACGACATTCTGGTGTTGTCCTCGTCAACTTGTCAAGCTGTCCGGGACATTAGGCTCACGTTGGATACGTTAGCTTCCCACGGATTTTCTGTGAACCTGGAAAAGAGTAGCTTGGTTCCCTCCACTTCTTTAGTTCATTTAGGGGCGCTCATTGATTCTGTTCAGGGTAGGGTGTTTCTTTCCCCTGACCGCCAAGTTAGTCTGCGAGATTTGGTGTCTCGGATTGGGAGGTGTCGGGCTTCTTCACCTTATGTTCTTTCTCAGTTGTTGGGGAAGATGATATCGGCCATTGCCATTGTTCCCTGGGCTCAGCTCCATTCCCGGGAACTTCAATGGTTTCTATTGCCTTTACAGAAATCGGGCAAAGGCACGTCCCTCAGGCTGGTTCCAGTCCCATCCTCGGTCCTCATATCCCTTCGGTGGTGGCGGTCCCCAGCGATTTCAGCAGGCAGCCTCTTTCTGGAACCTCAAAGGGTGGTGGTGACCTCCGACGCCAGTCTCCGGGGCTGGGGTGTCCATTGCCAAGGCCAACTGGCTCAGGGGATGTGGAGCGCAGCGGACACCCATCATCCAATCAATTGGCTGGAGCTACAGGCGGTCTTCCTGGCGCTCAAGGTCTTCCGTCATTTGATCCCCAGGGCCACGTACTTGTCCTGACAGACAATGTAACCGCCAAAGCACATCTCAACAAGTTAGGAGGCACCAGGTCCAAGTCCCTATTGTCTCTGACCATGAAGATCGGTCTTTGGGCGGAACGCCATCTCGGGTCTCTACAGGCGGAGCACATTTCCGGTGTCGCCAATGCCCAGGCAGATTGGTTGAGCCATCAGGAAGTGGACAATGCGGAATGGCGGCTCCATCCCAGGATCTTTCAATCCCTGATTCATCGGTTCGGGATGCCGGTTGTGGACCTGTTTGCAACTCGTGCCAACGCTCAGCTGCCCCGCTTCTTTGCGCGGTTTCCGGACCCTCAGGCGGAAGACACCGATGCGCTTCAGGCTCCATGGCCGGAGGGGCTTTTGTACGCCTTCCCTCCTACCTCCTTACTCCCCAGGGTCATCCGCAGGATTCTGGACGAACGGGCGGAGGTGATTCTCTTGGCTCCTCATTGGCCGCGCAGAGCATGGTTTGCGGACTTAGTATCCTTCTCTGTCGCTCCCTCCTGGCGCATTCCTTTCGAGGCGGACGCTCTGACGCAAGGGGCACTGAGCCACCCGGACCTTCCTTGGCTCAGCCTGACCGCCTGGAGATTGAGCGGCTCTCCCTGACAAGTGCTCTGGCTCCGGATAACGTGATTCGCACTATCCAGGCATCAAGACGCTCCTCCACTGACAGAATTTATTCTGTGACTTGCCGGGCTTTCTGCTCATGGTGTGCCCGGACTGGTGTGGATGTATTCCAACCCTCTATTATGGACATTCTTGTTTTCCTTCAACGGGGGCTCTCAGACGGCCTTGCTCCTAACACATTACATCGTCAGGTGGCCGCCATTTCCTCGGTACTTACCTGTGGTTCACTATCGTCCCTGTCTCAACACCCTTTGATAAGACGTTTTCTTCGGGGCACCACAAACCTGTCTCCTCCGGTCCTGCATCGTTACCCTACCTGGGACCTTCCATTGGTTCTCGAATCCCTCGTGGGTCCTCCATATGAACCGTTGAGAACGGCCTCTCTACGATTGCTGTCTTGCAAAGTTGACTTTTTGGTGGCGGTGACTTTGGCTTGCCGCATTTCGGAGGTGGCGGCTTTGTCCATTCGATCTGACCTCTGTGTGTTCCACGCGGACCATGTTGTCCTCCGATTGGACCCTACCTTCGTGCCGAAGGTTAACTCCGTCTTCCATCGCTCGCAGGAACTTATTTTGCCGAGTTTCTGCCCGCGTCCCTCCCATCCTCGTGAGCGTCGTTGGCACACTCTGGACGTCCGGCGGGCTCTGCGAGTTTACATCAAACTGACAGTGGCTATTTGCCGTTCGGAAGCGTTATTTGTCTCATTCCTTCCGGTCTCGTTGGGTCTCAAGGTATCTTCCTCTACTATAGGCTGCTGGATTCGTCAGACCATCGCTTCGGCCTATGACCTTCGCTCTTTGCCACGGCCTCCCTGGGTGACGGCCCATTCCACACGTAGCGCGGCCACGTCGGCGGCCTGGGCTACTCAAGCTTCGTTGTTGGAGATTTGCCAGGCGGCTACCTGGACCTCTCCTGCACCATTCATACGCCACTATAAACTGGACAAATTTGCTTCGGCTGAGGCCTCGTTTGGACGTCAGGTGTTACAACAGGTGGTGGCCGGAGAGGTTGTTTCGGACCAGCCTGGCCCCTCCCTTGCCTTGGGACAGTGAACTGGGGTATGTCCCACACTGGCTGCTGTCTCCACCCAACAATGGAGAAGGGGCGTTGGTCCTACCTGACACGCTCCTTCTCATTGTGTGGAGACAGCAGCCAGACCCCCCCCCCTTGGCCTGTCTGGTCCTCTCGTTGCCTTTCTTCTTGTTTTTTTCTTACCTTTCTGCCTGCCCACACGCCGAGTCTGCCATTATAGTTCTTCGCCAAAAGCTGGATCTGCCCGGCAACAAGGGCAGGCTTTAATGTTATTGGCTGACTCAGTCCTTCAGCTGATTGGGCAAGTATTACCCACACTGGCTGCTGTCTCCACACAACGAGAAGGAGCGTGTCAGGTAGGACCAACGCCCCTTCTATCCCTTAACTTGTATAATATGAGTATGAAATTAATGAAATACATTTGAATCGTAATGCTTGTATGTCATAAGCATACATTTGCTATCCTTCTTTCATTTACTATCATTGTATGCTACAGTTGGAGATATTTCCAATGAACTTGTGAGACATTTTCTGGTTGAGTGTACCTACAAAGGAGTAAGATTGAAAGGATGTCCCAATGAGCCATATTTTGGTAAGCATTCTTTAAATCAATATTATATATATTTCATTAGAGAATTCTTATAAAACATTGCAAGTACTTTCCCATAAAATGAACAACACAAGTACTCCCTAAAACAAGAACTATTGACAATCTTTGTAGTAAAGCTTACATACAATGTAGTAAAATTTCATTACTTTTAAATAAATAAAATTATATTAAGTTTTAATTTACTTTTTATTTTAATTTCTGGGACACTCTTGATAATTTTATTTGCACTATGTGTTAAATGAATTTATATCGTTTCATAAATGAATTATGACTTTTGAATACCTTGAAGCTGAGATTTTGTTTCTTTTATAGCTTTTTTATATATTCTCTCTTTAATCTCTTTTATACTTTGTTCTTTTTCTGATATTTTGTCTCTTTTGTTCACGTTATGAGTTCACTTCCCATAATTTTTCAAGGGAACTTCCTACAGCCTTATATAAGTAAAGTCCTTCTGGAAGAAACGAAAACATTTCCTAAAAGGGGAGTGAAATGTTATGATTTCTAGATGGTTTCTTCTTTGCTTTGTTTTAGTTTGCTTCTTTTTTAAAAAAACAAACAAAAGTATACAATATCAAATTTGTTCTATTCTTAATGTTTCAAAATATAGATATATAATTTAAAATGTTCTACTTTAACAAACTATATTTTTAGTTTCGAGGTGGAGAAAGTAGTACATACTTTATCTGAGGAAAGGATGATTCCAAATTTATTGGACATGTTGTATTACCTCCAATACTCCAACTGCAGACGCCAATAATTATTTGGAATACTATATGATGTTTTTTTCTGTTTGTTCTGTTGACATGACCTATGTTATAGAGATCGAGGCAGCATTTAATTACTTCTATTTATTCAATTGAATGTGGCTAGAAGAGTCTTGGTGGGCATGTATATGATCCCTTATTTAAAAAAAAAAATTAACTCCTTCTCAGTGAAAGATACCTTATGCAAGAGAAAAATATTGTACCCGTAATACAATTGAAAAAAAGGTGTAGCCTCATTCAATAACTAGTTCTTTGCATAGGGGGATACTAAAAAATATAATTTCTCCCAATATTATCCCTATAAATATGAAGGTACAGCTTGAGCTGTTGCTCTTACACCTGTTGCTCTGTGGTTTGGTCTACCTTTTCGTGGACTGAGTATCTGAAAACATTGTGATTCTGTAACTAGAAATGCAGGATATAAAAATTAAAAATGTATACATGATTTACAAAAATTGCATGTAATATTTTACCTACTTTACTTTATGGGGTTTTTTTTTGTTTTGTAATTACAGGAAGTTTGACAGCTTTGGTGTATCAACATTCCATTACCCCTCTGGCATTGCCTTGCAAGCTACTCATCCCAGACCAAGGTATTGCTGTTACACATCATCATTATTATTATTATTATTATTATTATTATTATTATTATTATTATTATCATCATCATCATCATCATCATCATCACCATCACCATCATCATTATTATTATCCCACACCAAGGTATTCTTACATATTATTATCATTATTATTATCATCACCATCACCATCATCATCTTCAATTTGATTCACAGACTGGGAGTGGTAAAAACTTAACAGTTCAAGTCCTAACCAAGGACCTCAGAGCTGTTAAAGTAACATTTGAGTGTATAGGTAGTTCCAAGTAGGGTGGGTTTTTTTGTTTTTGTTTTTACAAAGTCAGGATATTCAGGATATTGTTGTTGTTAATTTGCTGCCTATCTCACAGTGAAGCTACTCAAGGCAACTTATAATAATAAAAAGGAAGAAAAAATGAAAGGCATGTAAACAGTACAGAAGTAAAACAATATAAGAATAAAATAAACAGTGACAAACACAACGAGAATAAATACATCAATATGATAATTACATTTATATAATTTAAACAAAATTTAAAATGTAAATATAAGGTAGTTTATATGATAATTATATTAACACTATATAGCACTTAGTGTTATATTAACACTATTAACTTCATTGTAGTTAATAGTGAATCAGCAATGGCTGTATTTAATAAGAGTATGAGATTCAACATAAAGATATTTTATAACAATGTAATTTCTCATTCCACATCTCATGATCAATTAAATAGAGGGCCCGCAACTTGGGTGTCCTCCTGGATTCACGGTTATCTTCAGAAGATCATTTCACGGCCGTGGCCAGGGGTGCCTTTTATCAGGTTCGCCTGATCCGCCAGTTGTGTCCCTTTCTGGATTGGGACGCCTTGCGCACGGTCACTCATGCCCTAGTTACCTCCCATATGGACTACTGTAATGCTCTCTACATGGGGCTCCCCTTGAAAAGCACCCGGAGGCTCCAACTGGTCCAGAACGTAGCCGCGCGGGTGATTATGGGCGCAGCTCGTTACGCCCATGTAACACCTCTCTTACGCGAGCTGCACTGGCTCCCGGTGGTCTTCCGGGTGCGATTCAAGGTGTTAGTTATCACCTTTAAAGCGCTCCATGGCTTAGGACCTGGGTACCTACGAGACCGTCTTTTGCCACCAATAGCCTCCCACCGACCAGTTCGTTCTCACAGGGAGGGATTACTCAGGGTACCGTCAGTCAAATTATGTCGACTGGCAACTCCCAGGGGGAGGCCCTTCTCTGTGGGGGCTCCAACCCTTTGGAATGAACTGCCCCCGGAGATACGGAATATCCCTGATCTCCGTGCTTTCCGCCGTGCCCTCAAGACCCTGATGTTCCAACAGGCGGGGCTAAACATACGAACATGTGAATGATTTTTTAAATGATATCTAATTCTGGGTTTTATTTAATTGACCAAACTAAGTAATAATTTTAATTAGCAATTTTATGATGTTTGTGTGTCTATATTTTTCTTGACTGTACACCGCCTTGAGTCCTACGGGAGAAAGGCGGTATAGAAATATAATAAATAAATAAATAAATAATAATAAATAAATAGTTTGGGTAACAAGATCATTGTGGCATATAGTTATTAATATTATTATTTATTTTATTTAGGTGCTTTTTTTCACCATCTCCCCCCAATAATGTAAAGCATAATAGAATTATAACATCACTATAACTATTAAAAGCATTCAGTAGATTAAACAAGCTGTAACAGCCAACAGGTGATACACAGAAAGCAGGAAGATAGCAATTGATGTAGATAGCAATAGCACTTAGATTTATATATCATTTCATAATGCTTTACAGTCCTCCCTAAGCAGTTTACAGACTCAGCATATTGCCCCTAACAATCTGGGTCCTCATTTTAATGATCTCAGACGGCTGAATCAACCTTGATTCGGTGAGAATTGAACTCGGCAGATGACAAGAAACGTACTGTTTAATTAGAATATAATCTTCATTGTTGCCAAGTAAAAAAAGTTATGAGCTTAGCCTGTAGAAATAATTGGTGTTTTAAACCTCTCTCATTACACCATGTTCAAAACTCTCTCAGTACTGTTATATACAGCATAAGGAATATATGAATTTAAAAACTGATTGCAAATTATTGACAACTGGACTTGGATTGCTTTTCAATCCAAGTCATTTTGAATACATCTGTAATTTCTGTTTGTAGACCCTCTGGAAGAGATTTCTGAAACCTCCACACAAACGGCTTCAAATTCAGCTGCAGAGCTTCTGAAACAAGGAGCAGGTAAGTAGGTTCTAATCTTTTAATGCTGTCATCAGAAGAATTTTTCATGTGCATAAGACTTCAGTTGACTACATTAATAGCTCATTCAAGGTTCATAGGCACCACATAGAAGGTCCTGAAAGAAAGAGACCAGGTCTGGAGAGGATGACCATACTTTTGCCCTTCTGCGGTGGCCAATAAGTCACTAATGGTCACTTGAGAACAGCATAGTGTGTCAGAATTTGCATACCTTGAACTGTTGTGGATTGCTCGCAGGTTAGGTAGAAAAACACTATTTTAACATTAAAATTGAAAAGTATGAATACCTTCTTGTGAACAAATTGGTGACATTAATAGGGTAAAAGCAGAAAAAAAGACAACATTTAGGTATATTCATCTGATTATGCAAATAGAGATATAGCCTAAATCTATATATCATATCATTATACTAATTACCATATTTTTTGGACTATAAGATGTACTGGAGTATAAGATGTAACTAGATTTTGAAGAGGAAACAAGAAAAAAAAGTTTTTGGTCTCCATGTATTCAGTTTCTTCCCTCCCCAGCCCCTAGGAGCACTTTGCAGGCCTCCCAAACCCTCTATGGGTCCTGTTTTTGCAAAAATGGGACGCACAGGGGGGGTTTCGGGATGCCAAAAACAGGGCCATGTGTCCATTTTGTTTTGCAAAAACAAGCTCATTTTTGGCTTCATGAACCCCCCAAGCGTCCTGTTTTTGCTCTCCCCAGCCCCTGGAGCACTCTGCAGCCTCCCAAACCCTCTACGTGTCCCGTTTTTTAAAAACGGACCCATTTTTTTTTTCAAAAATGGGATGTGTGGGGGGGGGGAGGCCAAAAAGAGGGCCATATTCGATCTTTAAGATGCAACAACATTTCCATCCACGCTTTTTTTGGGGAAAAGTGTGTCTTATAGTCCGAAAAATACGGTACTTCCTTCTGTCTTTAATTTAATTTTCTTCCTATTTTATAATTTTTCTTTTTTTTCCTTTTCCTTTTTTAAAATATTTTTTTGGTGCCTTAGTATTGTCAGTATTGACTCCTAGTGAATTTTCTTGCCAAGATTTTGGAAGTGATTTGCTATTGCCTGCTTCCTAAGGATGAAAGCTATAATTTCCGAGATTCATCAAAGTTATACAGCTTACAATTCCATTTTAACATGAATTCAATTTATAAATGCAGTTATTGTCTAACTTGGTTTTAATTGCCCAAATTTTATTTTAATATTTAATATATAAAGAAAAATTGTACAACTAACCACATACAACCACGTACACACACAATGTTCGATAAACAGCAAAGTGAATTTATATTAAAGAAAGACGATATAAAAATGAATATTACATGAATTTCACTTTTTTTCCACTTTTTAAAAACTGGAAAAAATCATTCCCTTCACTCCCTCTCTGCATTACCACTTCAATATTTTCAGAAATTAAATTTCTAAATTAGGATCAAATTATTCTATTTGTAGCTTTGTTCATCATTTGCTTTTGCTTTGTTTTATAGCCTGCAACGTTTGCTACTTGAATTCTATTGAGATGGAATCTCTAACAGGTCATCAAGCTGTGCAGAAGGCTTTGACCTTAACTTTAACTCAAGAGCCTTCTCCCACCTCTACTGTAGTGCATTTCAAAGTGTCTGCACAAGGTATCACATTGACAGACAATCAGAGAAAGTAAGTGCTTTTCCTCATCTAGCTTGGATAAGAGACCGTCCAGTGCCGGTGTCTGCTCACCTCTTAGGACAGAACAATATCAGTTATTTGTTCAACACACGGCAACAGTCCTTAAACAGGCAAAAATGTGGGACAAAACAGAAACAAACTCACTCACCAAACTTGTCAGAGCTTTTTTGCTATTTCTTATTTTGATTGGAACAATGATCTGTACTTATTGAATTAAACACATCTTTTAGTCTTTGCAGTATCTTGTGAAATAACAATAAATAAAAGCAATAACAGGATTCATTATGAAAGATGGCTGGATAAAAGAACTACCGTATTTTTTGGAGTATAAGACGCACCTACCTTTTTTGGTGAGGAAAAGAAGAAAAAGAAATCTCCCTCTGCCTCTGAGCAATTAAACAGCCTGCTTTACTTTCATTTTTGTTTTCAGCATAGCTTGATTAGCACAAGGAAAAAAAAAATCTACTCCAGCAATTTACCTCTTTGCAGCAAGCAGCAGAACCCTGCGCAAAACAGCTGAGAACAAATCAGCTGAGAGTTGGGAGGCAGATCCAATCAACTTGTGCTAATTAGGCTGTGCTGAAGCTGAAAGGAGCTGTTTTTTCTTGCTGTTTGCTTGCAAGGAGGTAACTGCTGCGAGGCAGAGGCCAAAGGGTGGGGGCCAGTGGGTGGGTGGGGCTACATTCAGTGTATAAGATGCACCTAAATTTTCACCCTGTTTTAGGGGGGGGGAAAGGTGCATTTTATACTCCGAAAAATACGGTAATCGTTTCCATGCTGATATGTATCCATTTTCTTATACTCCCACCAATGCAATCTAGTAAGGTTACAATTCATATAATGGGATTATTTACATTTGTTTATTTATTATATATAAGTAATATATTTATTTATGCCATTTATCTCGCTATTGTGACTTCGGGTGGCTTGCAGTATCATAAATAACACTGTAGATAATTAAAAATTTAAAAATATTAAAACAGTAAGCATTAAAATTAAAAACATTAACATTAACAATGAACTAGATAAAAGAACCAATGTTTAAACTGGGTGAAGTTGGAATTTTGATCTAATCTATTAGCCACCTCCTGAATGGGACACTTCATCAGGGCCAGAAGCCAGTTGGAGGAGCCAGGTTTTCAGCTCCTTTCAGAAGGTCACGATGGAGCTCATCTGCAAAAAAGGCTCTTCTCCTAGACCCCACCAGCCACAATTCCTTGGCTGATGAGATCCAGAGTATGCCTCTTCTGCCAGAGTGATCACCTGTATTTGGCACTGAACAGCACTGTTCTTGTTATCTCTTCCTATGTTAGTTTAACAGCTACACTGGGATATTTTCACCTTACTTACTTTCATATTGCAGTATAGCTGCTGCTCTGGACACAATTCCCACTGTTAGTTACTATTTTTTTAAAAGAATAATATTGTGGCAAAAGAGAAATGTTTATATTTCCTTTTCCCAGTGCCACATAAACAATCTGAAATACAGTCTAGAATCTCCAGTCATAAATTTAGGTCTAAGGCCTATTTTATTTTCTCTTCCTTTCAGGCTTTTTTTCAGAAGGCATTATCCAGTCAGTAGTGTTATTTTTTGTGCTTTGGATCCACAAGACAGAAAGTAAGGATGATTAATGCTTTTTCAATTCATTGTTTGTATACTGTTATGTAAAGTTACCAAAAAAAGAAACCCCTCTAACAAAAATATTTTTTTAATTTCTTCTCCCTTTTTTGTTTTATATAACAAGATGGATTAAAGATGGTCTGTCAGCAAAGTAAGTAGCTATGAATACTTAGCATCTTACAGATAATATCCATGTTTCCCTTCAACTTCCCTTCAATAAGCAATAAGGCAATGCTTATGTTAAAACCAAACAAAATTGCAGAAAAAAGTATGCAGACGTTCATGTTTATCTTTGACAGCTGTCAACATTTGTTTGTGTTATATGTCCATATTAACGTGTGGAATGTATGGAATCTAGTAATCTTTTGGTAACACTGGCTATGAGAGCTTCAGGAACCTTCTAAAGGAATTATGAATATGTATAAAATTTGGAGAGCATATCAAGTCCTGTGAAGTGATCCCAGATAACATGTGATACTTGAAGCTACACTCTGCAAAATGTTATTTTATCTAATCTCTTAGTAGGTCAATGGAATCAGTATGCCTCAGCGTTAGACTCTCTCCTCATTCCATTTAGTTTAGCATTCAGATATTAAGCAATTTGTTCACAATTAACCAGCAATGGATAGTGGTGTAGACATGACATCCCAGTGAAAAGAAAGATAATTCAGGTAAGGAAGCATATGTTCAGAAATCCTTCAATGTAAAGCTTCTCAGGACAGGAGCACAGGATGCTTTTTTCCTTTATCTCAGCCTTAAGTAATGGGCCAGGAAGTGTTCTCATAATTGGGCAAACAGAATAATGTGAAATTTAATTAAAATTACCAGATTCCATTCCAGAATGTTCATATTTTTAAATAAAGTGCAAAATATATGAATTAAGACTCGGCTTAATGCAGTATTTTGAATAATTTTGTACATAAGATGAGGCATCAATTTTGTTTTGTGTGAATTGAAAGTCCATTTTAAGTGCACACTCATGCAGACAGTGCAGGTTAGGAAAAGATTAGTAGCGATGAAAAAGCTGCTTCTCAGAAAAGCTTGTTCCTCATTGTTTTTCCTGCTGAAACCCTGTTAAATTCCAAGAAACTCTTAAAATACAATGGGAAAAACATCCAGCAGAAAATTTTGAACTTGTTTAATAAACACAGTATTTTATGCATCACCTTTCGTGTTTTTTCTTTCATTTTCCAGAGTATTTGGCTTTGTTGCAAGGAAACAAGGTAGTGCAACTGATAATGTTTGCCACCTGTTTGCAGAACATGATCCAGAACAGCCTGCCAGTGCCATTGTAAACTTTGTATCAAAGGTCATGATCGGTTCCCTGAAGAACTAAAGGCCTCCTGTTTTACTGATCTGTTGAACTTGCAAGCAGAAACCATATATTCAGATGAAAGCTGTGTGGCCCTCAGCAGTTCTTCCAGTGGACAATCTACCTATAAAATAAGATAAAGAGTGCATTTTATATTTCAGTAACATCACATGACCGTTTAAATTTATGACATCAAACTAGGATTAAGCAAATAAGGGAATAGGAATCTGGCAAGGTCCTGAATACCCATTTCTGAACAAATGTATTTTTTTTAAAAAAAAATCTAAAGCATTATAAAGTTGAGAAAATTGAAATGAGCTTTTCTGATTTTTAACTTGTGATGGGACAGGATGTGGGAGAGTGGGCATTCACCTCTTTGGGCATGTTGTTTTTATGTGGAATTTTTGCTGGAATTTTGTAAAGATGTGAGAACAGAAATTTGCATGAGAAAAATCTCAAGGATCTCTCAGTTATAATGCAGGAATAGGATTAGGGACTGGAAGTGGAAGATATAAAGACTTGCAGATTTATTAGATAAAAAAGAGCGTACTGTCTCTCTTCTTAATTCTCCCTTGCAAATTCCCAGTTTGGGGCACTTTTAAAATGTTTTTGTTCCCTTGAGTAGATTAAGAAGTCACAAGCTACTGTTGTGAGCACATTTGGAGTGAACAGTGGAAACTATTATATAAAATTATTCTTTTCTTTTATTCAGAGATCCTTTGTTGCAAGTGGCCACTTTCAGTAATTCACATTATTATAATCACATTACAGTAATTTCACATTTATTTTTGCATTGATTTTTGCTTTGGTCCTAACAAATTCGTAGATTTCTTCTCTTTCCTATTAATATTAGAGTGATGGACATCAAAATTATAATGGAAAATTGTATGTAGGAAATTGAGGCAAGTTTATTTTGGATGATGTAAAAAAAGAGAAAGGTTTGTCTAGTGCATATATTGTAACAAAAAATGGTACATTAGTTCGTTGAATGATAAATGGATAATTAGGGGGATGTTTAAAAGAGGATAAAGTGATTCAGAAATTTTATGAGGAATTTTAGCAAGAAAAGTGTAATGCCTTTAATGATAGCATATAAAAATGAAGGCTTCATTACTTTCTGTGGAATCTTCCATCTGGACTTGGGAGGGTCTAGTCCATACAATATGCAGATTTCCTGTGCACAATGCTAGCAATTTGATTGTGCCATTTAGTGTGTGCTGTTTCTGCTGCACCTTACCCCTGCTATTATCTATTGGCCTATTTCCGGGGTGTCTGTAAATAATCAGAACTTGTTTAGTGTGGGAGACCCCTGCTAAACTACTGCTCTGGTGCTTAGTGCATGCTATGATCCATGCTTCAGTGCTATCTTAGTCCAGTCCTTTCCAGCCACTGGTAGAATTTCTCAATGTCTGCCACATCAGTTATCTGTCCTATGCCTGGTCTTGCCTTGCTATAGCATTTTGTCTGGTTGATCTTCCTCCCATGTTTGCCTCAGGCCATCTGTCAACAGCTCATTTTGGGATGCCATCTTAGTGATGTACTCCTAGGTGCTCTAGGTTTCATCCTGGATAGTTTTGATATCGATCAGACACGTTTTGCCCTCTGGGTGTTGGACTTTGGGTGGAAACCTCCATACGTTGTAAGGAGCTTCTGGATCATCACATTGGCAGCAGAGTCTGCTTTGGCCAGCTCACGATGCCAGCAATATTACATATATTATTAGCTTGTGACAAATTATTTATAGTGTAAAACAGATTTGGGTTTACTGAATAGATTTTTTTGTTTCTATATACTTAAAGGGGGCCTGTGAAACAAACATGATTTTTTAAAAGGGGAGTTACATAGAAAATCTGGAAAGGTCTAGCCTGGGATATTTCTGCCAGGCCATTTTACATTACATAAAATTACATAAATTACATTACATTAAATTACATAAAATCATTAAGTAATTTTATCAATACACAGAGCATTTTGTTCATGCCTGCAGAGAGGAAGCAGTGTTTCATATTCTGGCTTTAAGAATAGCCACACATCTTTTTAGAGAACAAAGCATATTTTTTTATATTTCAGGAAACAATAAAAAACTTCATAGTTTTATTCTGAAAATGAATTTCTACTAATATTTTAAAAGTTTTTATTTTAAAAAAAATCTGAAGTAAATTTTAAAATGGGGAAAGGAAGGGAGAGAAATCTTATTTTGGGTTCACAGTTATATTTTGATAAATGACATACTCTGATTTGACAATCTAACATATATATCATGTGACCAAATATTCCAGAACAGAATATTGCTATATTTGTGTATGCATTGTGATAATTGTTATAGTCTACTTATAGAGCATATACTTGTATATAACCCAATGATACCGAAAGTTAATAATTGTGATCCCATATGTGAATGTGTATTTGCACAATTGCTGATGCTATGCATATTTTCCACTTCTTTGCACCACAGTGATACAATCTAGCCATACAAGCAAGATGTGTGTGTGTGTGAAATGAGCAATTTAAGCATCAGTATTTCCAGTGGCTCTAAGGAAACTGAATGCAAATAGTGGACATAAGATATCAGAATTGCAGTTGTAAGAAGGAGACAAGTTTAGTTTAGTTTAGTTTTATTAAATTTGTATACCGCCCTTCTCCCAAAGGACTCAGGGCAGTGAACAGGCACAAGGTAAAATACAGAAATACAAAAGTTAAAACAATTTAAAAACAAATTAAATAATATTGGCACACGACAATTAAAATCCCAGTAAATTTAAATTTATCTTTTCTGTTTTCTCCTCCGCTCCCCTCTCTCAAACACACACACATACACACACTGTTGAGAATAGGTGTAGATAAATTCTACTTTTTAACCAGTACTTATTTAACGGGATAATGAAGTTTTATAGAAAAATTGGGTGCAATTTCATAGGCAGCACATGGTATTTTTGCATTATTTCATTCCCAAGTATCAGATGGGCTTGAATGATTTCAGTAACGTATTCAACCATTTCCTCATGAGTTTTCAGTCTTTCTGGCTTCTTATGTTTCCATTAAATTCCAAGGATTTTTTAGTTGTAGCTATTGCTGCTTCTAATCAGGAATCATTGCTTCACAGAGATAGTTGGAGAATTTCTCCTTCATTTGGAAAAGTAGTTGTCATATATCCACAATTTTTATGGAAAATGTTTATGCCCCATGTTATTATATGTCTCATGCAGAGAGATACATAAGCATATGAATATTTGTTTAAAGTGCTGATTAACTGCAATGACTAATCAGATTGCAATAAAAATATGTTTTGGACTCCACAAAGGTTAGATCTGTTTTCTGTAACCCTTGCTGCATAAATAATGGAATCTGAGAAACCACAGATTCAACATCAACTAATTGTAATCTACAGACTGTCCTTGAATAATTGTTGGGCATGAACATAAACAGGCATTTTTGAATGAAACTTAATATTTTAATAAGCATCATAAATATCAAAACCATCTTCCAATAAATGAACCAAATAATTATATGAGATTCTCCCTTCTTGCCACACATAACACATTTTCTTTAAAATAACTGATGGAAAATGGATACATTTTATTTATTTCATATGAGTAGGTTAAGATGTAACAAAAATGAACTTGTAACGAAATACTTTACAACAATGATCCTAAAATTTGATAATTGTACATATTACTGAAAGCTTAACACAAAAAATGTTGAAATACATTTTCACATAAGTGGCATTATCAAAGTTAATTCTTTCTCATGGGTAATATTATCAAGGTGCTACATTTTTAACCATAATCAAGTCTATAAATGGAAGTCTTATGTCTGTAAGCACAATGCCGCCTCCACAATCTTTTTAAAAAACAAAACAGCTCCAGAGGTACAAAGCTATTCCCTCTCTGCCAGAAAGCTCTATGGCAAACATGTCCCAATCCGATTCCTCAGGAAGAAAAGCCTTCCACTCCATTCTGGTGCACATGCGCACGCTGGGAAGATGATCTTGTGGTTTCCGGCGCTTGCATGCACACCGGCCAGCTGGTCTTTGCACATTCATGCGCACCAGAAGACCAGGTGCACCGGAAACCAGAAGATCATCTTGGAGCACACATGCAAGCCGGGCGGCTGCTCTTCTGGTTTTCGCACTCTCGCGCATGTGAAGACCAACAACGAGATCTCATTAAGTGGAAAGTAGTTGTGGGGGGAGGAGCAGGAGACCGGCAAACACTTTGCACCGAGAATGAAAATTTCTGGGTCCCTGACTCTGCAAAAGGGATGAGTGCCTGAACCTGTGTGATATAGCACCCGGGAGCATCCATTCGCAGCATGAAAAGCATTTCCAAGCCAACTGTCCTCTCCCCTCCTCAAAGGCAAAGAAACAACAGCAGAGAGGAGACAGATGTTTGCAAGGTAAGTGAGTCCTTGTGGCAGGAAGGGAGGGAGAAGCATGAGGTATTTTAGTGGGTTGGGGAGCCCTTGAGGGCCTATTCTATTACCAACCCCCCTCCCCTGGCCTTCCCTATACTGAGATACCTCATGGGCACATCGGTATTCTTGAATTGTGAGCTCTTAGGAAAGTATTCCCTCCTGTGTTGCAAATAGCTATTTCCAGTGGGGAAAACAGGATAAAGCAAGTGGGGGAAAATATTTTTCTTTGCTATATTAACAATCTGAATTAGACCATGGCAGAGTCCCTACAGGAGAGCCCTTTTAAGGATTATGTATTAATAGAAAACCAACTAACTTATCACTGTTCCTAAATGTTAAAGCTGTTGCACATAAAAAACAAGCTCAACTATCTCAGCCACCATTTTGACAGTTTTGTTGCACTGTTTTCTGGACGCCCTCATGAAATGCAAGCATGGGATATACTGAGTCTGGTTTGTTCTCAGTCTTATACTTGATCACAAACTACTAGCAAAAGTGGCATTTGATCACAAGGCAAGGAGGCATCGAGAAAGTTTGCATTTGAGCATCCAAGAAGAGACAGGAAAGACAAAGGGGAAGAGATCAAAGAAAGAAAAAAGGAAGGGAAGGAAGGAGATTATAATGAGACTGAGGGTCTGAGGTAAAGCCTGCCTTAGCATTTGGCCACCAGCAGCCCTGCTGTCTTTTCCCATCCCCTTGTCCCCTCCTGACTTCTGGTGGTATTCCATCCTATCACTGAGGATGCTTTGGTTACAAAGCTGGGTCTTCTCACAAGGAGAGAGAGTGGCCACCATGGCCACACCGACAAGCCCCCCCCCAAGTCAAATCACAATCCTGATGCAACCCTCAATGAAATTGAGTTTGACACCCTTGGTCTAACATATCAAAATCGGAAATACTTCATTACTGTACCAATTGTTTCTATTTCCAATCATGTACTGTATGTTGTTTCGAAAAATGAAAGTTGGCATGCATTTCCCCGAAAAAAGACCGGGTCTTATTTTAATTTTGCCTCCAAAAGGCATTAGAGTTTATTTTCAGGTGATGTTATATCTTTGGGGAAATATGATACTAAATGCATCCGTCTGGCTGATTATCTTAATTGGGGCTTATTTGGGGGGCTTATATTATGAGCATTGTGAAAAATCATGGTAGGGTTTATTTTCTGGTTAGGTCTTTGGGGAAAATATGGTAGATGTGTTCATCATTTCATCATATTTTAAAACATTTCTTCATTTATTTGATGCACATCCTAATCTTTGTGATAGTGTGCAGGATGTAGGTATGTAAAAAATTCCTTATTCTGGATGGATGGTATATGACTTGTTTCAAATACTATATGTATCTATGTATGTATGTTCATACATACTCCCTTCTCCTTCCCAATCCTTATATCCTAATACATTTGGGGGGGGGGGAATCCAGCAAACGTTAGAGCATCAGTTTCTTTTGTGGTGCTGGATATGGTTGCCTTTATCAAGTTACCAGCAGGGCTAGTGCTGTTATGATATTAAAATGAACTGTTAATCATCAACCTAATTTCAAGCCCGATACAAATCATACAACATAATTTACTGTTGATGAGGGGAAAAAATCTGCCTTGTACAAATATAACCTTTTTAGGATGTCATCTCAAAACACTCATTAGTGGTTGCAATCTAGACTTCATCGTGCATCCAGGTTTCAGGATTGGGAAGTATTTTGGTCCTTTGTATACACTCCACTAAGGCAACCATATCACTGAAAATCAGAGTCATGAGTCTTCCCTGTATCCTTTCTTGATTTATCTTTGCTCATAGATTGGTAGATGTAAGTAGGGAGTCTGTTAGGCTGCAGCTAAAAAATATGTGATGTCTCCTTGGAGGAGGCCTGCCCTTATATTAATCCCTAGATGAAGGCTCCTTTCCTTTCCTTTCCTTTCCTTTCCTTTCCTTTCCTTTCCTTTCCTTTCCTTTTAGTCATCCTTTATCTTTCTGTAGTTCTTTAAATTTTGTACTTTATTTTTGCTCAGTTTTTCCAAAGGAGAATGATTGTACTTCAAAACAGGCTGCTAGCTAAATTCTACTTATTCGTTCAAGGAAAGGACATAAAGTGAATTCTTGCCTTCTCTGCTCTGTCAAATTATATTAAACAAAATAATTCCAATAGCCTGAGTGCTCCACAGAGACGCTTAAATGTCTATAATGCCTGGTGGCTCAGCAGACTAGAAGCATTGCGATTAACACCAGCTGTCTGCAATTAGTGTAAGTTCGGATCTCACCAGGCTCAAGGTTGACTCAGCCTTCCATCCTTTCTAAGGTAGGTGAAATGAGGACCCAGTTTGTGGGGGCAATAAGCTGACTTTGTATAAAAATATACAAAAGTATGAAAGCTATTGCTTAACGCATTGTAAGCCGCCCTGAGTCTCCGGAGAAGGGCGGCATATAAATCAAATTTTTTTTAAAAAAAGGTGAAGCAATGCATTCTGTTAAATTGCAGAATTGCTTGAATTAACAAAACCTGACACTTTTAAAATCTATGAAATACCCAAAGCAGCGATTTTGAACCAGCCCTTTACAGGCTTGCTGTCAGTTACTATCTCCATGTCTTAACATTAAAAGCAAGAGTGGGGAAAAATCACTCAAATCAGGGGCCCCCAAACCCCGGACCACACACTGATACCAGTCCATGGACTGTTAGGAACTGAGCCACACAAGCAGCAGGCAAGGGAGTGAAGCTTCATCTGTGCATGCACAAGATCTAGGTTGTGCATGAAACCATCACCATCCCAGTCCATAGAAGACAATTTTTCTTCCAAAACAGGTATCTGGTGCCAGAAAGGTTGAAGACCGCTGACCCAAATGACCCGTGTTTGATCCAGCAGGCTAAATGAAGAGCCAGATGTACTATTCCTGGGTCACATCAATATGATTTAGTGCATTATTATTTTTCTCTCTCCTATTGTTCAAGAACTAACAACACACTTTCACAAGAAGTCATAGACTTTGACTCCCATAGCTCTGATTCTGGTACCACCCCACTACTATTGCTGGCAAATTTACGTCTTCTTAATCAGTTGTCCACATTCCATACTGGATCCAGGAACTGATACCTGAAGTAGAAAATCAAGCAAATATTTTGCTCTTATTAAAGTGGTATAAATGTAGAAGGAAGCACGCCCTTACACAACCCATCATAATGGGAACATGCATCTTTGTTCCCATTTGTAAATATCCAACACCGCTATGAATGGTTGCCAGCACTGATAAAATAGCATAACACAGGAAATAGCTGGCAGGTTTTCAAGAAAATATTGGACATGTATTTGCAAGGAATGGTATAAGGACTGCTGCCTTATACAGAGGCTTGGAGTAGAAGAACTCCAAGGTCCCTTCAAGCCCTATGATTCTATGATTTTATATATTTATCAACGGCATCTTTCTTCTGCCTCCCTATCAATTATAAATAAACCAAAATCCTTTGTTTTTCAGTAACTCTTCAAATGCTTCTCACTATTCTGAAGAACCACTTACTTAATCTTCTATAATGTGTTAATGGGAAACCAAACACTTCTACTTGGATAGACCAAGCTTTGCATAGCATACTGCAAAGATTTTGGGTGACTGTCATTCAGAAGTGGTTCAGTCAGATTGTCCCAGGCTGTTCACAATTCTTGTGCTTCTAAATCTTTTAAAGGTTGCTTATAATATTTTTTTTTCTATTCACCTTTGTGTCAGAGAAAGTACAGAATGATAGAGTCAGAAAGGACATTGGAGATCTAGTTCAACTCCCTGCCCATTCAGGAGATCCTATAGCAGGAGTCCTCAACACTCAAAGAGCCATTTGGACCTGTTTCCCACAGAAAACACCGGGAGCCAATAATTTAACAATTGGTGTGACTGGGTGGG